GAATGAGCCTCTCTAACCAAAAAAGAATTAAGAATGAGTCTCTTTTCATTAAAAAATAATACTTAATGAAAAATATTTTAAAAATTAATAAATTATATTTTATTTATTAATATAATACAGCCAAGAGAGAACAGACATATGAGATTTACTATATTTCCATTATTATTACTCAGCAACAATTATATATTTTTATCATATTTTAGCGCAGAACACAAATAATAGGTTTTATATGAAAAGTCGCTTCCTTTTGTCTTTCTGTGCGAACCTCTAGCTGAAGGACAATCAATGCGATAGTGTACAATCATGCAGTATTATTTTAAACACTACTTTTTAAATTTTTAATACAAGAACTAGTTTTATTTTTAATTTGATTTTAAATATAAAATTCTAATATATACATTAAATGCTAAACTAATATACTCAATTAGTGATGGTATTTTAAAAAAGACATCATCTATTTATTATAAATAACTAATTTATCAAATTTTTTTAATATATTTAAATTAGTCAACAAGTTTTTATGTTAAGGACATGAGAAGATATAAATTACTTATAAGGTAATTAATAACATTCTCAGATTTTATACCTATTGAATACCATAAAGAAAATAGATAAGAGAAAGTGTACATCATATATTTTTTTTCCAATATTCTTTCTGCAATAGAGATAAATGTAAAATTTTTTATTAATTTAATACTCCTCTGGTTCTTAATATAGGACCCATTTAACTAATTTGATTAGATTAAGGAAGTTAGGTAAGTTAGTTAATTATAAAATTGTGACATGTTTTTCCTAAAATACCATAATCATCTTTCTTAATACCCCTCTCTATCTTCTACTTGATTATGGTTGATGGAGTATCCATAGGGGTAATTTAGAGAAAATTGATAAATATGAGAAATGGGTCTTATATTTAGGACCAAAACCAACTCAGTAATTGAGTCCTATATTAAGGACCGGAGGAGTACATTTCTTAATGTATGAGAATGATATACAAGTTACTTATATCATATATAAGAATAGAGTGGTACTATTCAATATTTTTTGTTCTTCAGTACTTTTTGTAAGAGATTTTTTTTCAGAATTTTCCGAATTCTTCTTATATTCTAATTAGAATGAGTACTTATTAATGATGTCAATTATTCAAAACCGTCAATCAATATACTCCTCTGGTCCTATTATAAGACAGGAAAAAAATATTTTTTTCCTTATTTATAAGGTATTAAGAGAAATTTTTTGTATATGTGTACAATTTTACCTTTTATTTATTATTTTATTGATTTTATTTACATGAGGTATAATGTATAATAAGGATAAAACTAAAAATTATAGAATTTTAAATGAGAGTTAATGAAGTTTAAGATTTTTCTTCGTTTGTATAAAATATGTTGAAAATAACTTATAAATAGGACTACGGGAGTAATTATTAATTGCAAGTCTTTTTTAAAAATAAATTTAAATTTTTAACATATTTAATAATTCACTTAACTTTAACTACATTTATTATCACTAGTTATTCATCTCTTATAAAAACAACTGAGACCAGTAATCTATAATTATCTCTGAATTGCGATGTAAAATTGATGTATAGGATGGCTTCTTCTCGTATAATAATATTGATCAATTCAGAGTAATACCACAACATTATGGCATATGCATGAAAGGAAAAAAAATATTATTTATTATATTTTTATTATTATTACTCAGCAATAATAAAATAATTTTTATCATATTTTTATTCCAAGATACATATACTAATTTTAACATGAAAACTGAAAAGTCACTTTGTTTTATGTTTATTATCTTTTTTGACCTTTTCATATCATTTTCATTTAATTTCATATACTCCTATATTTATTATTTGATAAATTAATCTATAATTCAATGTCACATACATAATAATATTTTGAAAAAAATATGTTATATGTAATTAAGTGTGACATATTATCTCCGGTTTTTAATGTAAGACCTCTTTTGACTTTTATTTTGATCCTAAATATAATACCCCAGTCAACTTTATTTCTCATATTTGTGTAATTTTTTCCAAGATAATCCTTCTAATAATTATAGTTTTAGCCAACACATTTGATTAGTAAGGATATTTTAGGAAAGACAACACGTATTTATTACAAATAACTAACCTAACTTATTTTCTTAATTTTCTCAAATTATTCAACTAGTTTTTATAATTAGAATTGGAGGTAGTATTTAACTTCTTTGGTTTATTAACGGAAACTAACCGCTGGTCAAAGGGGGGGGGGGACTAAAGGAAGCTAACCTTGGGGCGTTTCCAGTTATCAACAGAAAATGCGAAAACGGTCAGAACCTTAATCCCCCAGCGGCCACACAGATCGATAACCCTCTTCAGCGACTCTACGCCGGCCTCGTGACCCGCCGACGGTGGCAACCCCCGCATCTTGGCCCACCTCCCGTTTCCGTCCATAATCACCGCCACGTGCTTCGGCATCAGATCCTGCCGCAGCTCCGGCGGCAACGGCTCCGGCTGCAGCGAAGATCCCGAAACGATAGCCACATTCGGTGAAGGAAGTGCCGTCCTGCAACTCCGGGAATCGGGAAAGAGCAAACGACGGACGAATTGGTGTGTTTGGGAACAGGCATTAGTGGGAGCACGGGGCTTATTAGGAAGCGGGGCTAGAGTATTCTTCACCGGAATAGGAAGGCTGTGCAGGAACATGGTGTTCATGTCTGGAATATGACAGTGTTTGGCGCAGCGGGGAACAGTGGGACTTGGAGGACTTTGATTTATATAAAGAAAATTAGAGTAGCAATAAATTATGTTCAAGACACAAACCTTCATCAGAAGGGCAGAATTTTTGAGGTAGGAGGGCACGTGGTAGTGAGAGGGAAGGACATGCATAATCTTTCAACTCTGTTAAAAATTTAATTCAAGTTATTAAACAGTAAATCGGTCAACATAATTTAATTATATATATTTTTTCCTTGACTATGTATGAAATGATATTGTTTTGTGTGAAAAAAATAGCAGTAAGCTGGATTTGTGGTTTAGTTATAGCATGTGATTTTCCATTTACTATGGATTAATATAATGTCTTTTTTATTTAAATAATTATATGTTATGATTATTTTTATATATCTTAATTACGTTACTCTACCTCTTGTATTTAATATATAAAAGAGCTAGTTGTAGAGTTAGATTTGGTTCTAAATATTTCTTTTTTTCCTCAAAATATTTTTATTGATTATAAGATGTTACCACGATAGTTTGGGGAGTTCAACACACATTATGACAAATAATCAGATTAACTAATTTTTTAATCTCTTCAAATTAGTTGTTTAACTTTTATATTAAAAACCAGATATAGCATTATTTTAATTATGATTGACCTGACCCTGATTTAATAATGGTTAGACGAATTACTCTTGAATAATTACTTCAACCTATTTAATAACCGGTTCAACTTTTAGTACGTAATTAAAGATGATTGATTTTAAAGGCTTTCTCACATGGGATTAGATAATAACAATTTTGCATCATGCCTTTAAAAAGATAGATATGGGTAACATTTTCCATAGTTACCTTTTTCCGCTTGCGTGTAATGTATCTTTGATTATGTACAAAAGTTTTCAAAACAAAAGTCATTTGTACGTAATTAAAAATATATTTCACATGCTTAAAAATGAGTCGCACTCCTTTAAATTCATGTCCTTTGGCTGACAAAATTTATAGGCACTTTTAACGAATCTAAGGGACCAAATTGTCAAATTATACACGGGAATTAGCTAGGGGTAGGATCACGGGTCACCCCAGCCACGTACGTACCCTTTGCCTGAAAGGGACGTCAGTACGTGGGTAACTAATTTGAAGAGGAGATTAATTATAGGTTAATTAAAGAAATTATCGCTGAAAACTAAAACTAATTAAACCAAATTAAGAATGTTATATCTGAGACTGATTTAGGTGATAAACTATGTATGTATAAATGTTTATTTAAATGATTCTGAACAAGCACTAATGGACAATTCATTTATTTTTTAAAACAATTAATCTGTTGATCCTGTAAAGTTTAACTGGTTATCACTCAGTCCCTCAACTTTTAACTTAATTAAAACTTAATTCTCATTTTTTTTCTCAGCTTTTAATAAATTAACCCTTTTCACATATAAAACTTAGCTCATCTTGCGTAGCTTCCAAGTAAGCCCCCATTTAATAATTGTATTTAAAGTTTTTTTTTTAATGTTAGGTCTTGCAAACTTTCTTATATGCAAGTGAGTGTCAGGTGCGTGTTGTTATATGTGCTTCTCTTTTTTTTTTTTTTCACTTGTACTTTTGCTACTTTATAAAAAGAAAAAAGGTGTTAAGTTTTAAAATATCAAAATTTATTTTTTTTAAAAAAAGAACAAGTATATTTGATTTTCAACCATACGTTTTCCGGAGTAAACTATTACCAATACCACCATAAATACATATCGGTGACAAAAAATAAAGATACATAATTATTAGTGTTAGGTATGGGATAGCTGGCGAAGTAATGAAAGGTACGCAAACCATGCTCCACCCTGTCAGGTACATAGTCAATTGTCTAAATTTTTGAGCATAATATATTGCATTCATGCTATATGAAATTCAAAGTCTCTAGCTTATTTGTTTTATAATTTAATTTTAAATATAAGACTTCAATATATTTTGTTTTTTATATTTATCTATTTTTTGCAAGATAGTCTTTGTTATAGTTCCACATATTAAATATTTTATCAAATGATACTTGACTAGCAAGGGTATTTTAGAGAATACAACACATATTTATTATAAACAAGTAACTTAACTAATATATTTAATCTACTCAAATTAGTCAAATTAACACTTATATTAAGGATCGGGCATAGTATTTCACATGAACAATTAAAAAACTGAAATAAGCTTACTCAAGCACCTTATAACCATTTCGCGTTTTATCATATAAAACTCTTTTCACATATTAATATTATATATAGTATAAAATCATTTAAAATAAGTTAATCCAAATTAGACAACAGCTCATGATAATAAATATAGTTAAAAATGATCAATGTCGTCTTCCACCAAAGCGCCTGTGTCTTTGCTGAAACAAAGACAAGGCCTCCACAAATTGGTCCTTGCCAAAATCAGGCCAGAGATGAGCATCAAAGCCAAGTTCAGTGTAAGCAAGTTGCCATAACAAGAAGTTGCTCACTCTGAGTTCGCCACTGGTTCGAATCATCAAGTCTGGGTTGGGAAACTTGGTGCAGCTTGCTTCCAGTTCTTGCTCTATCAGCCCTTCATTAATGTCTTCTACCTCCATGATGCCGTCTTTGACCTTTCCTGCTATGGTTTTGCAGGCTTGCATGACGTCGTATTTGCCGCTGTAGCTAATCGCTGCCATTAGTTGCATTCCACAGTTTTGCTTTGTCTTCTCCTCTGCGTTGCTTATCATTCTTTGCAGAGAGGTTGGGAGTTTTAATGTGTCCCCTATTACTGATATTTTGATGTGTTTACTGTCAAACATATAACATAGGTTTTACTTATAAAACTAATATCAATTCACAAATTAAGTATTACTTATGGTCTCAAATATAAGAGCTAGTTGACTAATTTGAAAAAATTAAGAAAATAACTTAAGTTAGTTATTTGTAATAAATAAGTATTGTCTTTTCTAAAATATCCTCGCTAATCAAATCTATTAGCTAGAATTATTATTACAAGGATTATCTTGAAAAAAGGGATAAATATGATAAACAAAGTGGATTAATATCTTATATTTAAGACCAAAATAAAAGTCAAACAAACTCTTATATTAATGATCAGAAGTAGTATTATACAATAAGGACCGAAAGAGTAGTAATTTATAAAATGACAACGCGTAATTTTTCTACAAAATATGTTTTTATTTAGAGTCTATTTGGTATGAGAAAAAAAAAGATATTGGAGAAAAAATTTTAATAGCGGGATTAAAAATTTTTAATTAATTTTTACACTATTATATATTACTTCATCTCTTTATTAAAATTTGAAAATCTTACTTATCTGATTTTTTAAATATAGTTCAGTAAAATTTTCTTTCTCCTCCGTCACTCTCTATTTCCTCGTACCAAACAGCACTGTAGAGATTTTTTTGGGGCCAATCTTAGAAAGAGACATAGAGCACAGGGAAAATGGGAAGGATGGGTATAACTGTAATTTTCTCTAAAATTCAATAGGCAGACAGAGACAGGACAACATTTGATGAAATAGGGTATTTAGCTGTAATTTTTGCCGAAAATGAAAAAAATTGTCAGATTGAAAGTTCATCACGGCATGAACGATTTCTAAAAAATACAGCATATTGAGAAATAGTTTTCATAATGTAGCATTTGTGTAATAAGTTTTAATGTTTACAGTATTTTGATAAAAATGTCTAAGTTTTTGTTGTAATAAGACCACATTACAGCCAACAAAAAATTTGTCAATAGACTACTTTAAAAGTCTTGACCAAAAAACAAAAAGACTACTTTAAAGGTCAAAACTAACAGCTTCATCATTAAATTGTTACCTCCGGTGCTAGAACATTTTTTTTACCCTAAATCGTTAGTAGAATGACAGTTTAATACCTCATTAAAAAATAATATCAAATCAGGATTTTTCACGATTTAAATTCCCAGATTTCGTCATTCAATTTCTCATATTATATTATTATAGTACTGAAATTTTTTTTTAAAAAAAATTCTGCTCTGACATTAACTTTATTATGGGGTCCATATGAAAATTTTTGAACCGCTGCAATGATATATATGGCTATATATGGGACAATGTTTGTTTTTTTCTTTCTTTTGAGCAAGTGAAAAACCAATTTATCATTATATTATATACATATATATATAACAAGTAAAAAAACTGGACTCCCATTTTATAGATAGGAGAATTCATCATATTTATATTTGAAAAAAGTTTAAAGCCCTATTCAATAGTTCATCACTTGAGAAGAAATGTGATCGCCTTGCCCAGAAAAGAACCAGAAAACAGTTACAACCCACAGATCAAAATGCTACATATGAAAAGCTAGCTAACCTTTGGGCGATTCCAATTATCAGAAGAAAACCATAAAAGCGTCAGAACCTTAATCCCCCAACTGCAACACTGATCGATAGTCCTTCTCATCGACTGTACGCCGGCCTCATGACCCGCCGACGCCGGCAACCCCCGCATCTCGGCCCACCTCCTGTTTCCGTCCATAATCACCGCCACGTGTTTCGGCATCAGATCCGGTCGCAGATCCGGCGGCAACGGCTCCGGTTCCAGCGATGATCACAGCCACATCTCGTGAAGGAAGTACGGTCGTGCGAGTCTGAAGATTTGGAAAGAATGAAGTGGGGAAGAATCGGTGTATTCGGGAAGGGGCAGAAGCAGGAGTATGAGGCTTAGGTAACACTCGAATTTGAATGAGACTTCATTTTTAAGCCTATAAAACACCTTCTCCTAGATTCAACGCATGTGGGTATTGGCTTTCAAGTTTTGTTCTTAGCCTTTTTGTTAAAAGAAAAAAATTCCTTCGAAATGCATATAGTTTAATTTGATTATTTTGACAATTTATTGATGTGTTGCCATTTATTGAAACCTTGTTAGTTAAATATTTTAGAGGTTGCTTAATCAACTTAAATTGATTAGTTAATATGATACGTAGCTATCATGGATCATGCAAATCTTCCTTAATGTTTTTTATTAAAATATTTGTTATTTTTCTTACTTTCAAACAACATATTTAAATAGTTCATTCATATATAGTTGCCTTGCAAACTGATACTTCCATATCTTATAACATTTCATAAATTATAAATGATTTTGATATGAAATTTTTTCATTTAAAAAAACACTCTCAAATTACTTCTTAGAGATATTTTATTAATTAGATCAAAATGGAGTTAAAATGCAAAAAATTATGGTTAATTATATGAAGTTGAGTAATGAGTTATGAATTTTTAAGTGAAACTTATTAGTTATTTCATTAAAAACTAGATAGTAGAGCTTTTTAATGACATTTCTTTCGTAAAATATAGAGTTAAATTGAAAGAGTGATGACATTCAGAAGTTATTTATGATGATGCTAGTAAGTCATAGCGTTGAGTATGTGCTAATTCTATAAAAATTCTAACTGATTAATATCAAAACAATCAGTAAATACCATGAGTTTTCAAATTCTGTTCTTAATTTCCCTCTTTCTGTTTCAAAGAGACATTTTAAACGGAGTAGTCTTGAGCTTACTTTTCAATGTTATTCCCGTGGGTGACACCAAATTAACTTACTCCCTCTGGTTTTAAGTAAAAGATCTAAATAATAAGTTTGTATTGATTCTAAATATAAGACATTAATCCAATTTATTTTTTAAATTTATAATTTGTATATAATAAGAGGTTTTCATTAAGGGGTTGTAACAATAACGTCTTTAGAAAAAATATTCTAACAAAACCAACATATAATTATTATATATAATTAATTTAACTAATTTTCTGAATAGCTGCAACTTAATTGTCTAACTTCTACATTAAGGAGCCAAGAGAGTAATTAATTTATGAGTGTTGCCCACCAAAGCGTCTTTGTCTTTGCTGAAACGCAGCCAAGGCTTCAACGAATTGCTTCTTGCCAAAATCAGGCCAGAGATGAGGATCAAACACAAGTTCTGTGAAGGCAAGTTGCCACAACAAGAAGTTACTCAATCTGAGTTCTCCACTGGTTCGAATCATTAGGTCTGGATTTGGAAACTCGCTACACTTGGTTTCCAGTTCCTGCTCAATCAAGCTTTCATTAATGTCTTCCACTTCCACAACGCCATCTTTAATCTTCCCAGCTACGGCCTTGCAGGCTTGCACGACGCCATATTTGCCGCTGTAGCTAATCGCTATGATTAGTTGCAGTCCACAGTTTTGCTTCGTCCTCTCCTCTGCGTTGCTTATCATTCTTTGCAAATACATTGGGAGCTTTGATGTGTCTCCAATCACCGATATTTTTATGCCTTCCCTATAATATCCATGCACCAAAAAGATCAGAGAGTTTTTATGCTGCTAGGCTATGAAGCAATTGGTATATTATTATGAATTGTGTTGAAAGTTCTTATAAGAAGGATATGAGAGAAGATTAGGAAAATTAATTGATTGATATTGAAATTAAGTTATAATTAAGAAGCTTGGCTAGCTAGTAGATGTTTAACACAGTGGAGTGAATTACCTGTTGCCGGTTTCAATTAAGGTGTTCATGGTACTCTCAAAAAGCTGCATCAAAAAGTCAACCTCCACCTATATCACAATCAACATGTATTAGTTATTTATAATAAATATGTGTTATTTTTTCTAAAACATTTTTGTTAATCATATATATTAGTTAAAACCATTATTTGATTGAATCTTTAACATGTACAACTAATATAAAAACTATTTTGAAAATAATATAATGCATGAATATGAAAAATAAAGTAGATTGGGATCTTATATTTAGGACTAAATTAAAAGTCAAACTAGTTCTTATATTAAAGATCAGAGGCAATATAAGAGTTTGTTAATCATTTAGTTTTGATTCTAAATACTCCTCCGGTCCTAAATGTAAGACCCTTATACACTCTTGTATAAGAGTCTTACATTTAGGACCGGAGGAGTAATAGTATAAACAATAGCCTGGGTCTTGTAAATTGCAATTGCTTCCTTGTGAATTAAATCGGAAACAAAAGAAAAGGAAAGAAAGGATTAGGAGATGATCAAATCCGAGAAGAGTCACCGATCACAATTATATTAATGCTACGAAAAGCTAACCTTCGCGCGTTTCCAATTATCGCAAGAAAACCAGAAAAGCGTCAGAACCTGAATCCCCCAACTACAACACAGATCGATTATCGTCATCATCGATTGAACGCCGGCCTCATGACCCGCCGACGGCGGCAACCCCCGCATCTTAGCCCATCTCCTATTTCCGTCCATACTCACCGCCACATGCTTCGGCATCAGATCCGATCGCAGCTCGGGCGGCAACGGATCCGGCTCCGCCAATGATCTCGAAACAACAGCCACATCTCGCGAATGAAGTACGGTCCTGCGACTCTGAAAACTGGGAAAGAGTGAAGGAGGGGAGAAACGGCGGTGTGTTTGATAACGTGGACAAGTAAGACTATGAGGATGAGGAAATAGAGTTACAGTATTCTCCACGAGAATAGGAAGCCTGTGCAGGAACATGCTACTCCGGTTACGGAATACGAGAGAATGTGTGTTTGGCGCCACCGTACGCAGACGGCTGGGATTTGAATTTGTTTAAGAGCCTTTATGCTGGTTAAAAAAAAAAAAAAAGGAAATTGACTGGGAACACGTCTACCGCAAGGGCCGAATTGTCTTTTAGATTCAAAATTTCTATTTCTATGTGACGTAACTTGCTAATAGTTTAATTTGATTATTTTGACGGTTGTCATTTATTTATTGAAACGGTGCTATTAGTTAAATAATTTAGATTTAGAAGTTGCGTAATCAACTTAAATTGATTTCATCAATGATGCAAAATCTTGCTTAATGCTTTCCTTAAAAAAAAATTTATTCCTTATTTCCAAACATTATATATATAATTAATACAGTTATATTTGACTTTATAAATTGATACTTTTATATTTTCTACTCTTAAAAATTATAAACTGTTTTTGATACGAAACTTGTTTTGTTTGGAATTGAACTCGACTTAAATTTTAAAGATATTTTATCAATTATGTCAGAATGGAGTTAAAATTAAAAAGTTATGATTATATGAAGTTGAGTAATTAGGTACGATTTTTTAAGTAAAACTAGAAACTTCTCCCCGGGGAACATGTGAAGAAACATGAAAATGTTATATGGTAGAATTATTTTAATATGGCAGTAATGCATTTAAAAGTTGTTTATTATGATATTAAGTGGCCAATTTATTGAGTATTTGTTTTTTGTTTTCCAACCTTCTAACCCATTAATTTTAAATTAATCAATCAGTCTCATGAGCATGACTTGTCAAATTGCGTCCCCCCCCCCAATTTGTTTCAAAGACATTTTAAATCAAGTACTTTCATTCTTGTTATTGACACCAAATTAATTATTACCGGTCAATTTGCTCATGTTTTGCTAAAGTGTATTTCAAGGTTTTGGAATTTAACACGTAAGTTTCCAAATTAACCATTCAATAAAGATGAAACTGATCTTTCTTCAAATAAAGTTGAAGAGAGGCTATTATAGATGGGATAATAACATGGCGGCTACAAAAATTGGATAATTACCCATAGTTTTTTTGCCCCCATTTTTTTTGTTTAGTTTTTCATTTTTTGGCACGAATTTTTTTGTTTTGTTTTTCATTGTGAGACATTCAACCTAAAGATAAAATTGTGTCCATTTTATTCAAACGCAGTCTGAATAGATGCCTTAAGAGGTGGTCTTAACGTATTTACAAAGCATGATTTATCTTTGATTCAATTGAATTTGTTTAATATTAAATGATATTGAACCTTGGTACGTAGTAAACTTTAAATTGACCATGTGAAAGTATAATACTCATAAAACTGTATAAACCATTACATTTAACCACATGATAACGAAGTTTAGTATAATCCTAACTAAACGTATTTGAAATTGAAATTATTTAATCAGTAATGTTTTATCTGAGTGACTTTATCTGGTATGCTCCACGGACATACATATAATGGGAATAGCCTGTGCAGGAACATGGCGTGTGTTTGTTTTTGCAGAAGAGCAACATATCATTAGGCGTTCACTTTCAACTTCCTGGAGCAATAATGCTTTCTGAACTCTTCATCACCAAATGGACCATTTACACCAACAAAGTAGAAGAATCAATTGTTCTAATAGCGACGGGTCTAGTCGGGAAGGAATTAGTTCTTATTGAGATTTGAATCTTTGTTAAAAGAGGTGGTCATATTTAGTATCTCATGGCACCTTAAAGTAAGATTGCTTCTCATGAAAAAATAACCATATGCTAGGCAAAAACAAACACAGATGCCTGAATTCGCAGCTTCAGTAGTAAGTATCTGAACTTCATAGCATGTTTTGTTTGTAGACACAGCATTATCTTGTTGACACTAATGGTGATAGATACTAGTGAAAAATCTTGGGATGCAAATACTACTTCACGTGTGGATAATTTTGATCAGGTACGGGTATTCAGTATTCATGATGGCTTTCTTTCTGGGCTTCATCTTGCAGCTGCGTGGAACGTCCGCGTACAGTTCGGTGGCTAGAGCATTACCAACATATCTTCTTTGGATTCTGGATTCTCTCTCTCGATTCATATTAATCGATCGATATTCCTTGCAATCAAAAGCTTCCACTTGATACAAGATCACAGGCATCTGTATGTTTGGAATCACAGGTTTGCTAACAAGATCATCATCGATACGTTTGAGGATAAGTACGTGTGAACAGAAGTCCCACATCGACTAAAATGAACAAAAAAGTACACTATATAGAACTCTGACACAAGCAGCAGCTCGCCGAGCTGGGTAACGTCAGCTTGTAACCCAAGTGGGGGCATCAAGGTGATGGAACACGGATCTGGTATCGCCTGGTTGGGTCGGGGGAGGCAATTTGCTGGCCTGCCCGTTCCAAGTGGAGAGCTGAGCCATGGGTCCTGAGCGAAGGCTCGAGATTCATGGTTCCTAGACGAGAGGGCACTGCGTGAGGCTGGTTTCACAGAGCAGCGACAACCTCTGGCTCCTCACAGTGGAAGGATCACAGGCTGCTGCTCCTCCAGCCCACTACGCCCGGTGAGCCTAGCCGCTTGAACCATCATCTTTTTGCTCCGCCCTAGGATTCAATTAAAAATCAAAGTAGAGGATGTAGTACATTAATTTATTTCTAACTATAAATAAATTTATCCTTTCAAAATATATTTCATATTATAATTGAATTCCTTAAAAATCACATAAAAGAAAATTATATTTTTAAGACATTAGTCTAAAATTATCATTCATCCATCCAGCACATGTTGAGAATGGCTAATCCTGGCCCCAAAAAAAAAAAGAACAAGAAAAAGAAAGGGTCTGTTTGGCTTTATGTTTTTAAACCCATATTTATTTTGAAAAACAAAAAATAAAAAAATATGGTTTAAAATCTGTTTTTGGTTATGTGCTTTGAAAACGAAAAAAAAAGGTTAAAATTTGCTTTAAAAAATAAAAAAATTATTATATCTTTCTAAAGTTTTATTACTTTATGTTCTACAAAATTAATTAGAATACAGTAATAATGACAATTATACTAATAAAGCATATTATTTTTTCACCATTTACTAATTAATGCACTACAAACATACAAATAAAAAATAAAATCAGACAAGCCTATTTTTGTTTTGAAAAAAAGAGCGGCCAACCGTCTCGAATCACCTGGACGCAGCGAATAATGTAATATAAACCCATCATTATTTGTGGCGGTGAGTGGCTCCCAAAAACCAATTTGAATATGGAAATTCGATTCTTAAAGCAAAATCAGAATCAATGGCAATCGTACCTTCGAACATCACATGAATCAGAACCCCATGGCCGTCAATCTCAGTTCCACCGCTTCTCTTCGCCCTGCACCTTCCTTTCTCCTCAGGAAAAACAATTCCGTCCTCAAATTCTACCCTTATTCTTCAACCAGAACTCCTGCTCAGTCACAAGGGGCTGAGGCTGGAGTTACAGAGGAAGATTCCCCGGCGGGTATGTCTTTCATTTTTATTTGGCTTTTTGTTTGCTTTTGGGTTGAATTCAAATCTTAAGCGTGAATTTTCAAGTGCGCTGTTTGAGTTGCAGAGTATACTTCGTTCTATAAGAAGACCGATCAGCTCTATATTCTACTTTTAAGAATATCGACAAGCTTTATATACTTGTGAGCTGTTTGAGCTGCAGAATATACTTCTTTTGTTTTTAATTGGTTAGTCTTGTTGGCTTCTCATGTATATAGCCATGTTTCTGAGTTTCTTATATGAAAGCAAAATTAGTTTGATTTGGATTCTGTGACTCAGCTGAACACAAACACCTTGAGGACAGAAAAATGTTGGGAGTCCAATGCTTGATATACTTACATGAATTGTGTATGAAGTCTGATAAAAGAAACATACATATTTTACAGGATTCATTTGCAGGAAATTTTATGCTATTCTTTTCAGTGTGAGTGAAAGCAATAGAGAAAAGGGAAAATAACGAAAGGAACTCATAGCTTGCTGAAGAAAGCTACTTTTTGCTTCATCAAGCTCCAGAGCTTTTTTATGTTTATGCTTGGTTCTACTAATCAACTAGTTCATGTCCTGAATGTTATTGGATGCAGTTATTTATGCCCTCTCACAGAAGTCCCTCATATTCTTTTATGACTTCTATCATTAGGACCTTTGTCCTCTGCCCGCTCACAGCTCGATCTCTTGGAGCAACTTACATCAACTAGCTCATCAGTCAGTGGTATGTAAACTACTGTCTCTGTTATGTGAATAATACGTATAGGCGAATACAGATTGATATCAGTCAGTGGTATGTAAACTACTGTCTCTTTTATGTGAATAATACGTATAGGCGAATACAGATTGATTGTCCTCTGGTTTTGTAATCTCACTTTATTCCTATCAACCATTCCTTTTCTGAATTGTTTTATCTTGTCATCTTAAATGAAATGTGCAAAATATACGTACATGTCTTAAGAAGGTAGTTATCGATATCAAGATTCAAAAGGAAAACTTGTCAAGAGACCAAGAGTTGCTAAAGATCAAATTTATGCCATTTATACCCTTAATGGCATGTATAGGAAAAACGTGCACACCACACCATAAACATTTTTCCCATCTTTTTATTATTTTTTATTAGCATCTGAGACGTCTTTGGGTTATGCCTGAAAGTAAAGCTACTCTTTCTCCATGAGTTCAAGATTTTACTCTCCATAGGAGCTGAACCCATATTGATTAAGGGGGATGCCATCTCCTCTTACTGCCTAAACTAACTCACTTGTGTCAATTGTGTTTCACATTTCAATCATGGAATATTTCTAAAATAGTATATGGGTAATGTAGTACAATTTTTGTAGTCTTGATGACTTGTTTAGTACCATAGTAGAGCATTCACTATGTAGAAAAGTTAAAAATTGAGCGACACCAAATAAACTTAATATGTTAAATCCAATGACTTGCGAGATAAAATCAAATTTCTTTACAAATCTGGTTTCTCTTCATTGTTTAATGTTTGGGTAAAAGAATGATATTGGAGCCATTTCTGATTTCCAGGTTATGAAAGTGATGGCAGCTCTGGCAAACTTACTATCCGTGAGCAGCTCGCACAGTTGGTAGGAGACAGAGATGATGATTTCAGTATTCCTTTGGGTAAAAACTTGAAGAAAGTGAGCGCCAGGTTCTTGACCATTTCACAAAAGAGAAATATCAGGAGACAAGCTTACCTAAATGAAGTTTCTCAAAGGAATGATTCGGTATTCTTTGCCACTATAGGAGCTTTTGTGATTCTTCCTCCTCTTATAATACTAGGAATTGCTGTGTTAACTGGTTATGTACAGCTTTTTCCATGATATGTGTTATATGAAAGAACGGCCACATAATAGAATATCTAAGATCATGACTTGTTTCCCTCTCTAGTCTTGTATAGTGACTGTCGCTTCTCTTATTTTACTTAGCAAGCGGCAATAAGAAATAGTACAACACTACTTCCCCCCCCCCCCAAACATTCTTAAATAGACTTGGTCCGTTCAATATTAAATAAGTAGAGTAAGCCAGTTATAAATATACATTTAAGCATGTCAGTGATGTAATGTAGGCGCAATTGCAGGCTTACGTGTCGGTTGATAATTCGCTTGGTCTGCTTAATCTTTTTGAATTTAACTTGGAAGGTAACTTCTCCAAAGTGACATGAGAACAAGTGATTAGCCGTAATTCAAATGCAAAATGGACTTTCATTTGATTTCCAAGTGCCAGAAAAAGCAGAGTACTCAGACTAGAAGGTTGCATTACAGCCATAAAAACATGACATCCCAGTTTACCCTGAATCAAATGGTTAAAAAATCAGAATCAGTTACGTTTATGCATTCTTATTCAGTGTGTTGCAGGAAAAGAGTGATTGTGTATGGCACTCCCATCTATACACTTAATCATTCATTTATATTTGAATATGTTCTGTTCGACTCCAATTCTTTATAGTATGGCTGGTTCAGACTTCAGAGTAATACAAGTAATTCTTAGTTGCAGAGATAACCCATACTTCAGTTCTCATTCACAAATGCCTTTCAGATCCTTTGCTCTTTCAATGAAAATGATTCGTTCGATTCTATCTATAAATTATGGCAGAATCCATCAGTGAGATAAACACGTCACGTCAACAGCAGATCTTAAAAAAACTGTGCAATTAACTTGATTTATCTTTTGAAGACCAAATGAAACCCCATTGAATAGCAACAGTATTTAACTTGCCTTTGGTTGTTCCCCTGTACTTTTATTCCCTTTTATCTCTATGAAGGCTACAAGTGAGCCTCATACTTGATATTTTTTAAAATAAAAGTAAAACTAAAAGAAGTTCTTACCAATCTCTAAATAATTACTCTGCACATTTTATACTCCTTTTTCCTATAATAGAAGAAGCCAAAGTTACTAAACAAACTATGAAGTATCAAAACTGTGTGAAAAAGCTGTATTCATGTCCAGCACATGCCAAGTCACAAAATGTTGTGACTCTTCAACATACTTTATCTTCCTTAACAAGATTCAGGCTTCAATTCCTTCTTCTGTTGGTTTTCATCAGGACAAATCTCTGGAGCAGTAGAATTTTGCAATTCACTGTCCAAAACCTGTCCTTGGTTGTGTAAATAAACCCATTTGTCTTGAAAGAGGTACAAAGCCACAATCAAACATATTTGGGCAGTGAAAAGTATCTTCCAAACTGTTACACTTTTTGATGTTTTTTCTTCATAGACTTGTAGTCCTAAATATACACTCAATACACCCAGAAATGAAACTGCTGTTCCTGCTATCCAATGTGAAAGGTACCATGCACTTCTTCTTTTGGATCCCCTGTAACATGAACTGAAAGTCGGAACTCTCCAGAAACAATAAGGATGATTTGAAAAGAATAATGATATTACACACACACACACACATATACATTTGGTATTAGCGGATAAGAAGAAAATTGAAGGACACACCTTTGAGGTCGAAAAATACCAAGAAGGAGCTGCGGCCAGATAATACCATATAATGCTACTCCTATTCTCTGATGAGTATTGTTGAATAAGTTGTTGAAATTTTTTATGGACATTATTGCTCCTGCTGTGGCAACAATAACTGCAACGTGCTGCTGAACATAAAAAGTCTAGATTTTTAACTAATTAAAACAAAATTTAATGTTTTTCATTTTGAACTGAGCAGAAAATGCAGAATGGATGTGATATTTTTTTACTGTCACTTAAAAGATAACGATGATTTCACTTAAGAATTCAATAAACTATGGTTAAAAGTCTGAAGTACATAAATCGTATTTAGATGATCTAAAAGGAATGAACACAACATTTTACAACGTAATTTCTTAATAAGGTCTTCTCTTATCCTCAAAGCATTAATTATTGTCCGTCTTAACAAACTTCAAGTTAACAGTTAAGTAGGAAGTAGCAAACTTCAGGCCAATTAAGAAAATAAGAATAAAAAAGACGAAAACTGGAATCTTTGGCACTCTTGTCTTCCTTTCGCCCTCATTAAAAGTTAATCAGAGAAATTAAATCTATATCACAAACATGAAGCTATAGAACAATCTTTTAGTTTTCACTTGCACATAAGAGAGATTCAGATTATGTACTTGCCTGCAGAACTGCATGAACATAGAATATAATTTTTCGCCTTCTTTGATCTTTCTCTCTGATTGCAAGTCTGATTGCAATTATACCAACAGGCATCAAGAACCCCATTGAAGCCCATAGCAGAAAACCATGTACTCTGATTTCATACAGCAACCTGGGACTCATCTTCACAAAAACAACAACCAACAAAAGTTAGATTCAAAGGAATATAAAGAATAACTTCAGAAATAATTTTAAAAAAAAAGGTTAAACACAGATACTTCAACAATTGAGTCCTAGAATGTTCTTATCAGGCAGAAGACCGCATATTTTTCAGTTTTGTGATGGTCATACAAAGAACAGGAATGGAGTACCTTGAAGCTGTCGCCTTTGTTTCTTGAATAGCTTTTAGTTTGTTCATGTTCTTGAGATGAGGAAACAAAAGGCAAAATGAGAGAAGCAAGACTTGCATGAAAGAAGGAAACAAGAAGATATCTCTGAACCTCCATGCTTCCTTGTTCTATGGCCACTTGCAGACTCAATCTTCAATGAAGATGAAGCTTGAAGAAGGAAGCAAAAACTGTGGAATTTTCATAACTGAATGTGCTTCCCCATTTGCTGGCCCAGGTACTTATTGTCCCTTTCTCACTGAATGTGTGGGTGAGGATTCTAAGCACTTTATCTTTGTTGCTTACCTGATGCAAAGATATACCATGAAATAATCATATTATCTTACAGTGCCAACTTCTTTACCATATTCAAGAGAATTACAGCTCTGAATTATATACCATCGACCTTTGGAAACTAAGGCGGATTCCCTATATCTATGCTTTTGAAAAGAGAATTATATAATAAAATGACTGTATGAGATTAAAATCTCATAATTATACTAATTCACCTTTTTCCCCTTTGCATCCCGTGAGCTTATGAGATTAGACAGAGATTAACCTTAAAAAGACAATTCACTCATACCGTAAAAGTAATGTTAGTGCACGAGATTTGAAAAAGGTAAAGTGGGTATAAGAGGAAGGTTGGGAAAGATTTCAAAGTAGTGGGGTTAACTACTTTTGCAGGCTTTTTTGAGATTGTGGAGGAAAATGTGGAGTTTCAGAGGGGAAAAAAGACAAGTGTGGCTATTCCATAAAATTTCGCAAAAGAGTGAAATTTTATGTTCAGATTGAAAAGAGAAAGTGGATCTATCATGTTCGTAGATTTTCCTGGAAAATCATTATCTTCTGATGCCCACTATTGAATACACACCACTATACTATAAAATGCTCCTTCCACCAACCAAATAATTCAACGTCTCTCTTCTTTTCATAAATTTTAATTTCTATGTCCGAAAGTTCAATAATTAAAACCAAGTTCTGTTAAGAACATGATTGCTTTTTGTTCAGATATAACATGGAGTTTCCCGTTTTGTTTGTTCCTACTTTCTGCTTTATGCCATAACCGTACGTTGAAATTTTGGTTTTAAACTGTACACTTAACTACACTTTGAAGGAAACTATATTATTGTCAATTCTCAGACACAAATGAATCATTAAAAAGATAAACATCAAGTCAATAATGCTGTCTAATACTCTTTTCTGTACATTCTGCATCGTACCACGTATGTCTTCTCGTTATTTTCTTAATTTTCATGTGATACATGCGTTTCATCATTATATTCATAATTTATTTCCATCAGATCTCTTTGCATGTATCGTGTAAGTTTATATAATAATTTTGTAAATGTGAGAGATCTGAACTGATTTCTTCTTAGAATAGAGAGGACAAATTCAAAGAGAATTAAAAGAGAATAAAAGAGCGAACCTGCACAGGTGTCCCGCAAAAATCCCTTGAGAATAAACCGACATATTATTCTGTGTGCTTTCATGTTGGTGTTCATGTATTTCTGCATTTTACAATTTAGATCTAATAATTTTTATTTATATATCATTTATTTTTAAACTAAATGTTGAAAATTAAAGTTATTTAATGTGACCAGAATATTTTGGTCACGCACACTGATGATTAAGTTGGACTAAACTAGCCGGTTAGATTGAAAAAATAGTAACTGATCACTTGTCCAATCCGAACAAAGAGGTAAATTGTCTCAAAAGAGAATTGATTATAAGAATTGGTGGAACGAGTCAAAATTAATGGTGCATAAATACTTGACTAATACTGAATTATTTTTAAGCTTTGAATTACTGTTTTGACTTTTAATATAAGTCACTTGTAACATATTTTCACGTGTTAAGAAATTCATTAAATTGATATAAAAAAAATTTAGTTTTACCAGACTTCTCTCTCCCAAAGGGAAAATAATGTAAAATAACTGGATTGATATGTCTAAAACTCTTAACCAAGACTGATTGAAAAACTGGTTCGTTGATCTGAATTGCCAGCTTACATTGATAGGAGGGAGAACATTAAGAAATAGTGGAGTGTGTGTGTGTGGGGAATGTACGTAGGAGAACCATGAAAGAAAAAGCAAAGTTGGGGGACCAATTGAGAGGGAATAGCCAATTCAACTTTGAATTTGAGGAAAGCACTTTGTTTGTTTACGAATCAGAATATGTGTTACCCACTAAAGCTATCTTCTACTTATCTGTCCCTTTGAGTGAGAATGACACTCAATTCTCTTTTCCACGTAATTCCCTTTCCCACATTCATTGCCATTCCACTACCCCCGTTGCTATCATATTACTATCACGTAACTTTTTTATATATGTTGGAAATATAAATATGAATAAGGAAGTACGTACCGGGCTAGATCAATGCAGAAATTAAGAACATCGCATAAGAGAAAATATGATAGAGAAGAGATAGTCGAAAACTCAATGAATATGGAGCGAGTTGAACTAATAGATGGTGACCTTATTGACATTATTAAGCAGGAACATTTTAGGAAGACAAAATATCCACAATATCTATCTGTTTGGATATATTATTAATATCATTTTATATCAATCGGTACGATAATGATTT